TTAATAATACTATTTAGAATATAATATATTTAGAAATCCTTATAGAAATTAGTATTAATATATAGAATGATATAATATTATTATATTTATTATTTTATTTTATAAATAGGCTAAGCCCTTATAATTAGTAGTTATAATTATAGAGATATATCTATATTTTCAAATTTATTTTATTATCTTTAAGTTCTATATTTACTATAATTATAGCTTTTCTTTTTTCCTTATTTATAGTCTTCTCGAATCCCTTAAAGCCTATATTTATAATAGCAACTTTTATAATTTTACCAGTTATAATAGTAAGGTTAAATTATATAATTATATTTACTCTACTACTAAAAACCCTAATCTATATTAAAGTAATTCTATTTATTAATATTATAAGCTCTACTTCTAGCTACTTTATAGTTTATTTTAGGATTTCTATCTATACCATTATACTTATAAATAAGATTTTAGTAATAGATATAATTATAATAAAATAGTAGTATAAGCGTCTAGTTTTTTCTTTATAAATTTCTACATTTATAATAGGCTATTTATAGCTATTAATAGTAATAGAAGGACCCTTACCTATAATAATATTAAAAATTAGTAGAGGGTTATAGCTATCACCCCCTTTTTCAATATTCTTTTTTAGCTACTTTATAGCTAGCTAGACTTCCTTCTCCTTATTTTTACCCTTCTTAGATAATATAAAGCTCTCTATTATATATATTATATAATATACTAACTATTTTTATAAATATAAAATATATCCATATAAATTAAATAATAAATTTCTAAATTATTAAAGTAATAATTTATATAGCTACTAAAGAATATATCTTTTATAATAATATATTTAGTAAATAGACTAATTCCTTTCTTATAGTACTTATAGGTAGTAGAGGGTTACTAACTATAGAGCTATATAATAATTAACTTATAATTAATAACTTTATCTAAATTTATATTTATAGCTTTAATATATTTATAAAGCTTAAGTTATCTAATATATTTAATAACTATAAGTATATTAATAATACTTATTATCTTCTCTTTAAAAATTATAATTTTAATTTTATTAGTCTTAAGTTATCTTTACTTCTATAAGACTTTTAATATCTTAGGAGTAAACTATAATATCTTACTTAGTATCTAGCTATAAAGGCTACTAGAGCTAGAACTACTACCATTATTATTAGTACTTATTCTATAGGCTATATAGATAAAAGAAGCTACAAGTGAGTAAATATATAGATGTAGATATGGATATAGATATAGATATAGATACCTACTAAATTAGTAAATTTAAGTAGGGGTTTATTTATAAATATATATATAACTAAGTAAGGTAAAAATTTTTAGTATATATTCTATTACTAATTACTTATTAATACGATATATTAGGTAATTAGCGAGTGTAGCGAGCGCTCCTCACTAGTTATAGTTATAATAGTATTAAATATAAATTGCTAGCTTTTATTAAACCAGCTATAAGCGTTATTAGCCTCGTTATTATATTGAATAATATTAAATAAATTAGCTATAGATAAAATATTAATAGAGTTATAAATAGTTAGCTAGGGTATAGTATAAGTAGGTAAATTAAAATTTAAAAAATATTTACTACTCTTAGCTAATATATTCTCTATTAGAAATAAGCTATAATTAAGGATAATATTATCTATAACTTTAAATAAGTATAGCTACCCTCTATATTCTACTATAAATAGTAATATGAATTATTATAGAAGTACTAACTATACTTTAACTAAAGCTTTAAAAGATTACTAATATTATAGTTTAGTAATATAATTATAGAAACAGAATATAACGAACTTTTAGAAGTAAAAATAACTATAAAATTAAATATTCTAAACTACTCTTTATTATTTTTAAGTAACCTATAAGTAAAGTAGGTAGCTTAAAATATTAAATATAGAATACTTTTATAGTAATATAAGTCTTTAAAGCTTATTAAGCCTGGAATATAGATAAGTAATATATATAAAAAGAACTATTCTCCCTAACTTAGATTATAATAGTAAATATAACTAATTACTATACTTTTTTAATATAGCTACTATACTTATATCTAGGCCTTCTATATAAAGTAAATTAGATACTTTAAGTAAAAATATGGGCTATGAAAAGAATTAGTAATATTATAAGTAAAGAAGATTATTAGCTTAAATTACTAAATCTCTATATAGCTATATATTTATTATAATATCATATTATCTTTAAAATATATAAATTATTTATTTAATAATTAATAAAAAGAGGCTCTACTAGTAGATATTTCCAGTAGTATAAAAATCCTAATATTTATTAAATAGCCTCTATAGGGCCAATATAGCGAGCTTATATATATAACTTAATCTTATTATTTATTTCTTATATTTATAAATATATTCTATTTAGCTCTTTATAGATATATTTATTTAGATATTTAATAGCTTTAATTATAAAGTAGACCTTAATATTAATATAGACTTAATAATACTAAACTAAATATAAACTATAGAAGATAATGTAGTAATTATTAATTATTATTTATAAATTATTTATAATTTTAGTAAAGTCTATAGAGTAGTTAGCTTAGTACTTATATTAAAGATAACTATTATATTTAATTATAGTTTTATTATAGAACTTCTTTAGGAACTATTTTAAATATTATAACTTATTAGTATTATCTATATATTTTATATAAATATTTTATAAATTATACATATTATATAGACTATAGAGTAAGAATATTTTAATATTATTCTATAGCTACTTAGGCTCCTTAAGTATTTTAGTAAAAATATATTAATTAACATAGGTGGAGTTTATAAATTATTTATAGTTTATAAACTAAACTAATAAATATATATATAGAAGTTTGTATTTCCAATATTCTATAGTTTAAATATAGATATAGTAAATACTAAAAACCTTACTAATTTTAATCTTCTATAGTAGTATTTTTATCTTTATATAGAATATATAAATAATAATATCTAGATAATTCATAGTAGTTTAACTAGGGTATAATTTATAGCTAACTTTCTTCTAGAATAGATTAGCTATAAATATAATAAATAATATAGACTTACTAAAGTAAATTATAATTATTATCGAGTTTTAAAATAATTAATATATATATTAAGCGCTACCTATATAGAATAAAAATAAAATAATATAGTAGCTAAACTATATAATATTATTAATTATATTATCTAAGATATTTATAAGGCTATTATAAAAATCTACATAAATTTTATTTTAGTAACTATATAGCTACGTAAGCTAGTTACTATTTATTATAATTTAAATATCTACTAAGTACTACTATAATAAATAATTAATATATAGTAGTATATTAAACTAATATAGATAGTAGTAAATAGAGTATATATAATATATATAATATATTAGATAGATATATTTATAGTCTAAACCTTCTATATTTAACTATAACTTATTATATTAGCCTGGATCCCTATAAGAGAAAAGTAATATATAATATAGAGGTAGATATAGTAGGCTATAGATATTAATATATTAAAGGCCGCCATTTTATAAAGTTAATATAATAGAATATAGCTAGATATTATAACTTTTAGGTATCTCTTTAATAATTATAGTAACTTTAAAAATAATTAATAAATTTTTAGTATAAAAATCTACGCTAGCCTCTAAATATAGAATAAACTAAAACTTAGTATCAATATTTCTACTAGACTATAATATCTAAAAAGCTAACTTATAAAAATAGATATATAGGTTTATCTAAAGTTTATAAGTTAGTAGATAACTATAGTATGGAAATATAGAAAAAATAACCTTATAGAGCGAGCTATAAATGATAGCTAAAATTAAATAAAGTAAGCTAAACTCTAGATTATTATAATTATTAGAACTATACTATAAATTATAGATTTAAACTTAGGTAAAGATTAGAGTAGTACTAGCTTCTAGCTATAAAGGGCCCTATAAGTAGTAGAGATCTCTCTATATCTAGAAGAGAATAATATCTATAGATATATTTTATAGCTAAAAATTTATCGAGTTATAGCTAATGGATATAAATATAAAAAACCTATTATAATAATAAATTCTATTATAGAACTACTTAGCTATACTATCTTTAATAAATATAAGTGGATAGTAGAGCTTAAGTAGTAGATTATAAATATTAGATAATTAAATACTATCTATAAGTTAGTAAGTATTAAATACTAGAGTAGATATAGAAGAAGATATTATATATTTAACTAATTAATATAATATACTATAATATATATAAGATATATCTATATAGTTAATTACTAATAAAATATATACTATAAAGTAGAAGGAGGAAATAGTAAAATATATAATATTAGAGTTATAATATATAGAGTAACAATATAATAATTTCCCTTTATTATTATAGAATTTATTTATAGGTAATATATATTTATAGAAAGAATAAATTTTTATTATACTGGAAGGTACGCTAAGTAACTACTATAGTAGTTACTCTAGTTAGTACTTTAACTATATTATTTAAATAAAATATTTTATAGCCTAATAATTATCATAAATATTATAGGTTTAGTAAATCTAGCTATTATATATAAAATTAGTAGTAGAAATATTATGGTAGCAAATTAAGTAACCTTATAGGCCTAATAATAAAGGTAAGCGAGTATAGCTACGGTACTAGTAATATAACTCTCTATAAATACTATAAGTAAGTAAATTTCTTTTGCTAAAATAAAAATTACTAATTAGCTATATAAAATAGTAGAAATAGTAGAATTATAGATCTATAAGTATATTTATGGTATAATAGATATTATAAATAAAATATAAAGGTTATAGTAAATAGTATAAAGGCTACGAAGCTATAAATATAGGTACTACTTAGAAAAAAAATATATAGAAGTAGTAATAAAGTAATAAAAAAAGGAGTAACTATACTAGAAAAAAGAAAATCTAGATCACGTGAATGTCAAAATTTACGAATATATTATTTTATTATATTAGGGGGACCATGTCTGGGGAAGAGGACGGGCAAGCTTGTTGTTGAACCGCCGAGGGCAAAAAAAACATGGATCCAGGATGAAGGAGTGAACGGCCAACTTTGGGTCTTCTGCCACACAACAACATCGACGTCGCTTCTTCGCCTTCGCCTTCGCCGTCTTCTTCTTCTTCTTCTTCTCCACCATCGTCGCCCTTCGTCTATTCCATCTTGGCTGCCCGTCTAGTCCAGCTACTTAGTTATCTAGCTAGTTCGAGCTCTGTCTCGTGTGCCCTGAAGTATAGCTGCATCTCCAATTGCCCGGGCGGTGCGCCATCTAACTAGTTAACACTACCGATCGGCACCACCACCACCACCACCGCGCATCCTCGCGCAGTCTCGATCATGTCGAGTGAAGGAGTCGAGGCGTCTGCGCCTGGCCAGACGAACCAAGATGGCATTGGTACGCGTTGACTGTTTCTATACCCTGCTTCTCCGTCGGCTATTGGCCGGTCTACTATTAGATACATACAGCTTGGATGGAACTAACTGTCGTCTTGTAGCTTTGGCTCCAGCCGCAGACACAAAGATCACTTCTACTGGCACGGATGCAGACAAGCCAGAAGCCACGGCTAATGGTGATGAGAAGCCGGTATCTACGGAAAATACCGAAAAGCCGGCGGTAGAGACCAACGCACCAGCCGAAGATAAGAAGGTTGAAGAGACCAGTGAAGAATCCAAAGATGAGTCCAAGAAAGAGCACAAAGAAGAATCCAAGGAAGAAGCCAAGGAAGAAGCCAAAGAGCAGCCCGAAGAGGCCAAGGGAGAGAAGGAAACTGGACAGAAGCGTGACCATGCTGCCATGTCTACTGCCGAACCCGCCGCAACTACCGCTGACTCCAAGGACGAGAAGGAAGAGACCAAGGCCGAACCCACCGAACCCGCCGAGAAGAAACAAAAGGTTGAGAAGAAAGATGAGCCCGTCTCTACTACAGCTGCTACTGCTGCTGAAGCAACGGAGAACGGCAATGCCAATGGAAACAGTAATGGCAACGAAGCCGCGAAGCGAGGACCAGGCCGGCCAAAGAAATCTGGCGGAGTCTCAGCAACACCCCAGAAGAAGAAGATGCCTACACCACGCAGCTCTGACGGAGTGGGAAGCAGAACTAGAAGCCGTCGACCCCAGGCCGAAGCTTGAACTACATCAGTTCAAATGCACAAGATTATAAATCGTCCACTGTGCAGCACTCCCGCATCATTGCTTCCCCCGTTTGACTGATAGTATTATGTTCCAGCCATCTATCTGTCTACGTCTTTCTTTTTCTACTGTCATGATTGTGATGTTAATCTTCTCAGCGCAAGATGTAGGTATCTAGGAGGCCTGGGCCAACAGGATGGATGCAAGGGGGCCGCCGAACGAAGGTAACAATGGATGGACGGATTTCTCTCGTCGATTGTCGGGTGTACAGCAACGAGCGTACTATTGAGGTCTATGATCATGAGCCGAACGCTGGAGGAACATGACAGGACGACACCAGGTAGCTATTCTATCTAGGCCATCGAATATCAAAAATGTTTTTGTCTGCTCCTGGTCCGCCAAACTACCTAACTACGTATGCCTGCGAGGCGAGGTAACTGCATAAACCTCCGCCGGCGCAAACAAAAACACTTCTGCCTGGGCTACGGGACAAGAGACAGGCCAGGTCTACGTAGACGATGACGCCGGTTTACTTACGTCTTTTTCTCCCTGCTGTAGTTCATATTGTTGCAGTCTCATGAGTCCGTCTGTTGGCGCCGCTGTCGACAGCAAGATGCCTCATATAAATAGTTATATCTCGGATGCAGCCATCTCGACTGCAACGGCTTCGTCTTCTCATCGGCCCTGGGATACTAGCCAGATAACTAGCTAACTATTTGCCAGGAGTCCTCGATAACTAGTTAGTTAACTCGAGCCTGACTATTTGTTTGTTAGCGACGGAGCAAGCGACGTCCAGATCCAGGCCAAAGCATCCACGCCCGAACAGAGTGACTCTCGAAACTCACTCCTAACTCCTAACTAAAGAACCAGGCATATTTCTTCTTCTCGCCCTCGTTGATCGCTCTCTCGATCGTCTCGCGTCTCGTCTGGCTGCGATCTCCGTCGCTCGCTCTCGCATGGGCCCTAGTCTCCGCTAGAATCCGAGCAACAGCCCAGCAGCCGAGCAACAGCCGGGGGGGGAGGGAAAAAAGCTCGCTGACCGACAACTCCTCCAGGGGAGAAAGGAAGAAGACGAAACAGCTTAACCAGTCGAACGAAGACGAGCGCCAGGGCTTGACGGACTCAACAGCCTGCCTCTCGCCCTCTCCGTCGAAGGATGGACTAAACGCAAAGAAAGGAAAAAAGCCCCGGCCGTCTCTCTTTTGTCTTCTGCGTCTCTGCCCGTCCGGACATCCATCGAAACTCTTTATGCCCGAGAAACCAGCCACGATAGCAGCCTACGCTGCTGGGGCGTCGCTGGCTGCCATCACCCTCTTCTACGTGTTCGGACCCAATTTCACGATTGACGGCGAAGATTCCAACATTAGCGGACGCAAGAAGGGCATCGTTGGCCTGTCCAACCCGGCCAATGACTGCTTTATCAACTCTGTTCTACAAGCCCTGGCGGGCCTAGGCGAGCTGCGAGTATACCTCATCCGCGAACTACATAAGCGAGACCTCGAAGGCGCTGAGATATACGATGCCTTGCCACCGGCAGAGGACCTCAGGGCCGGCCAGGATGCGGAGAAGGTGCAGAAGCTGCAGCTTGCGCCGGTTACGAGGGCGCTGAAGGATATGCTTGACGGGTTGAATGAGCGGCCGATATACAAGAAGACCATATCCGCGAGGGCCTTTGTGATTGCTCTGGAACTCGCTTTCAGAACGAGGATAAGTAGGAGTCAGCAGGATGCGCAGGAGTTCTTGCAGGTCGTGGTTGAGCGGCTGTGTGATGAGTATCATGCCGGTGAGAGGGCGAGGAAGCGAGCGTTAAGGAACAAGCTCGCCGCTGCTTCTACCTCTTCACCCATGGCCAGCGGCAGTGAGGAGCTGTCGAAGGAAGAGATCGACGGCGAGGATGCGAGTGCTGCCATGCCCATGATAGAGCTCGCCCATGCCGGGTCTGATACCGAATCAGAGAACGGCTTCCCTCTCGAAGGAATGCTCGAATCCCAGATTGAATGCCAGCACTGCAAATACAAGTATAAACCGAAGCAGACGTCCTTCGTCAACTTGACCCTACAAGTCCCCCAGAAGAGCTCGGCGACCTTAAGCTCCTGTTTCGACGGGCTTTTAAAGACGGAATTCATTGATGATTTTCGCTGTGAGAGATGCCAGCTCGTCTATACCCTTGAGCAGAAAGTCAAGGCCCAATCCCGCACCTCGTCGGAAAAGACACGGGAGTTACTGGGTAACGAGATAGCGCTTCTTAAGAATGCCATTGAAAACGACCCCGAAATCATCCCCGAGGGCGTCACCATGCCCAATCCGTCGGAAGTGCCTCGCCGCAAAATAGCAAAACACATGCGAATTACAGTGTTTCCCAAGGTGATTGCTATCCATCTCTCCAGGTCAATATTCGACCATGCTTTCTCTACCAAAAATGCAGCCAAGGTTTCATTCCCCGAACGTCTGGCCCTGGGTGGTATTCTCGAGAAGAAATGGTACAAACTGCTTGCCATTGTCTGCCACAAGGGAAGCCATAACAGCGGCCACTACGAGTCCTTTAGACGGAACCACGTCTACGCGCCCTTTTCAACACCGGATGCTTTCCGTTCATACGCTCAAAGCCGGTCCCAGAGCCAGAATCCATCTACTTTCCCCAGTCCACGCATGAAATCCTCTTCCTCATCAAAACAAGCCACAGACGACATCACCCCCTTGAACATATCGCCCATCTCCAGATCCCCATCTACCACTACATCGACATCTTCATTCCCAGCCGCAGGAGGCACGCCCACAGACACCACTACGACGTCCTCTATACCTTCCCGGCCTGCCTCAGGTCAGGCGCAGTCGTCTGCACCACACCTATCCCCCCAACAACCTCGCTCACAGTCACAGTCACATCCTACGTCAGACACCCAGTCAGGTGTCCCGGATAGAGCGCCTTCTACCTCCTCGTCTTCCGCCAGACGGCACATAGACGCAGCTCTACCTGGGGACCTTCTCTCGCCAAAGCGGGATTCAACCTCCACCAGAAGAAACAAGGCCCCTACCCCTTCTCCTGACTCGCCACGGCCATCAACATCGTCTAGGTTCAGATGGAAGAAGAAACCAAACGAACGTTGGTGGCGTATCAGTGATGAGAAAATCAGGGAGTGTAAGACAACCGACGTTTTGAACATGCAGAAGGAGGTTTATCTATTATTTTACGAGCTGGAGCGACCTAGCGATGAGGTATGATATCATACGGCCTTTTTTTTTATCTCCTATTTTTCGCTTTTCGTTCGGCTCCTCGTTTTCTGTGGCCCAGCGGTCGTTTACTGTTGGATACTTTTTACCATTGCACATATGCATTACTCGGACGAAGAAGCATTGCTATATATATCTCATGGCCAGGGGAGATTGATTTGTATGTCTATGACTAGATACCGATTCCTACTTAGAAACATGACCATCGTATGATACATGAGCTCGCACTGTAATTCACAACTCTGTGGTAGCAGAACAGCCTTTTGGTCAGCCATAGGGCCAGGCTAGACTCTAATATTAAGGTTAGTTATGGAAACACGTCCTCGCTTTTTTTAGATGCCAACATCAGATACTCCTCTGCGGCTCATCATATCCGTTTGCCGGTCAATACATCCAGCTAAGTGGTTGAGTGGACGGAACGGATGTTGCCAGTGACCTCAAATATCTAGACAGCGAGCTGCCAGCATCCACCTGCGTTCCAGTTGCTCTTCTACTAGTTTCTTTAGCGGCTAGGGGCCCCCTCGGTGCGAGAGTAAGTTTCGCGTAGGAGTAGGGCATAAATGTCTTTAGGATCGGCCATATGGCTTGTAGCCAGGCTGCGCCCATTTGCAATTTAACTCAGGCAGTTTCCTTTCCGCCGGCAATTAGGTAGAATATAATAACGATGTATGAATGGCATTTGGTGTGGCATTGTTACGCAGAACGCGTGGTATACATATACAGAAACTTGCTAGCCGAGGGAATGGAGGGGCCCTTGTGAATCTGGTTATAGGGTATTTTTCACCAAGATGATATTGGTATTCAATGCTTCACTGGCTGTTTTTATTGTGAAAAGAGCCACGATATGGAGATATCGAAAAGGTGTCGAAAATGCCATGGAGTTGTTGACAGAGGATGAAAGAGATTGGGGCAACAGAACAGAAGAAGAAGCTGATGTAAGTATCTGTGTTATCAGCTCTTTCCATGACTGATAGCAAGACAGTACAACCCGGAGATCGATCCTTCCTTAGATCAAACATAAAAGCTATGACGGAATGTAAATATTGATATCAGCCTACCTAATAGGCAGCAAGAGTCCCCTTTAGAGGCAAGTAGTGATCCGAAAGAGAAAAGGGTAGGTTAAACCGGATCCTGTTAAAAGAGTCCCAGTAGATTGCAGTAGTAAAAGTAATAAACTGCAAGGTAAAGCACAATGGCACCAGTCCATAGTGGCGGGTCCATGTAGAACTTGGCGATCGTTCCGACCTCTTTATAACAGAAATAGTAAAAGGAATGGTACCACCGAAGACGCTTTCCGCCTAGCGTCATCCAGACTCCTGGCCACAAATGACCTAACGAATATCTATAACTATTGTTGAGTAAGTATGATTCGTTTTTGTCAGTCAAGGATGCCAGTGGTGGGCCTTCTGCATCCTCAAACAGGGATACATATTCCTTAGACGGCGACTTTACAGGTTCTAGGTCGACGGAACGCTATTTCTCGCTATTCTTCTTCCACCGGATATCCTCAGGATCAAGGCCAGCTCCAAGGTCTATCCATTTAGTAGTGACCAGCGCCAGTCTATTCCTATTAAGAGCCCTCACCTCAACCTGGTAGTCAGCACCACAAGCTCTACAGGTGAATATATCCGGTTCAATAGGAACTCCAGGCTGCTTAGACAAGTAAAATTTAACATAAGCCAACCTCACCAATGGCGGCAGCAATGGGTTTTCGAACCCCATTCTGATATAGTCACAGAGATATACGAAAGCAACCTTTCGGATGAGCCTTTCTACGCTCCAAGCCTCTACTGCAGCCCAGGATTGAACCCGCAGATATAGACAAGGGCCAGAACAGATCCGGGCTTCAACAGATGATAGGGAAGTGGTATAAAACTGTGAATCAACATGGACTTCAGTAAATTGCAGGGAATCGGTCGATATACCATATTCCAGTCCACAATAGTGTCTCTTCATAGCGAGTTGCAGGTGGTAGAAGTAGAAGGAATAAAAAGTGGGCTGCATTGGGTGCACGAAGAATGGACGGACCCGACTTCATCATGGAAAAGAATCGAGCATTGCCCGAGGAACGTTGGCGCAGGAAGACTGTAGCGATCCCTATGATGGAGAATGGAACAAACGTGGCAGAAGCAAAATGGTGGTAGATCGGCTGCCAGTCGGTTTACACCCCACGGCCGAGAGCGAAAAAGAGTTGCATGATTACATAGTGCGAGGCAGGCCGTATCAACCGGGGAGAGGTTATTTGTTATCATAGCCATAATCTCCGGTGGCAGTGTTGATAGGGCTGCTGGCCGTCGCTGTACTTTGGCTTCCATCGTAGTGTGAGATATGGGTATACAGAAAGTGTGTGTGTCATATAAGAATTGAATCTGGAGACGGTAATATGGAATTATTGAGCTAGCTCTGGAGGAATTGTCGAATATCAGCTGTTCCAACCCGCCAACACCGAGCTGGATGTCTCTTGCAGGATGATGGACGTCGTTGATTGTCTGTGTGATAGATTAGGTCGTGATGGACGCGATGTCATATCTCGGGCCGGGCTAACTACTTATATAATCTGATTACTAAGGCTGAGCAGTGTGGATATAATTGGCCGCCTGAGACTGGCTATCCTCTCATTGGCTGCATGATTCTGTACTACTAATAGTTACTACTATTGGCCTGATTATCTTAGTCAGCGTCTCGAAGCTGTTTTGTCCGAATATCAAACTCGAAAGAAGCGACGACGATGAAGCGATTGAAGCCGATGAGTTTTCATGCCATTGAGCAGCAAGAGATGTCTGCTAGCTGCAGAATATAACAGTGGCCGGACAGGATGCCACATTGACTTGTCGCCGCCTACAAAATCGGAAGTCTAGGCTTGCCATCACGGCCTCGGACCCAAGCCGTGCTCTAAATTCCATGGTGAATAACTAATGGTGACCACTACGTTTCCTATGTAGTTTTCTTGCATATAGAGTACTCTATTGACATCATTGTAGGAGCTTCAGCGGTTTCAGGGCTGGAACGGGCACACATAAGTGCCAATCACGGGTGCCAATGGCCCAGATGCTGCTCCAGCCCACCCACGGCGGATCTGTGGGGGGGTTTGTCTCTCCATCTAAATATCTTTAACCAGGAAGCAGCCCCGTCACAGATCGAGCCCGCCGAAGGACCTCCCGCCGCTTATCTTCGGTCTGTGTCGAAATACCCACGGGATGCGGGAACGGTGGAAAGGACGTCGTCAGGCTTCGATCCCTTTCGCCGCCGCTCCTTGTGTGTTGGGGCCGGAGGGTCAGTGTCCGGCGTGAAAGTAGCCCTCCAGCAGAGAGCTGTTTCCGATGAGACGCTCTATATAAATGGGCCATCGGTTCACAATGCCGTTGCTAGATTGACAGCCCAGCCAAAAGGCAGAAACGTAGAGAGCACGTAGAGGCCCAGCCAGTCGACAAGTCCTCGAGTTCGACATCAACATCAAGCAGCAGAGCAGCAGAGCAGCAGCAAGCCCAGGGCAACGGCCGGTTAGACCACTGACTACTAATAATATAATAGCAAGAAAAAAAACTAGGGAATCACGCGGGGAATTTCGGAATTGCGGCGAGGGAGAACGAAAAACCGTCGGCTTTTTTGCTTGTCGGGCATGACGAAATCAAAACAAGGAGAGACAGAATAAAATCAACGACTCCGTCTCCTTTTCCCCTTAGCTGTCTCTCTCTCTCTCACTCTCTCTCTACTTTCGACACTGCTCTTTCGCATCTTGATTCTCCCAGCAAGCAAAGCAAGCCAGTCTCTCTAGGTATGTGCCCGCGCCTTTGTTCTGCTGCTCCCTCCGTGCCCCGCCATTAGTTAGCTAGGTTGGTTGCTTAGCTTAGAGCGCAGTTTGCCGTGGCGGGGTTTTCTTTATCCCTCGTTTTCAACAAGAACGAGCTCGCAACGAACAACATCAACCGGCCTTTTCGCATTCTGCTTCTCTCATATACCGTCTCAATTGATTCAAGAGGCCGATCGTCTGACTGTTCTTCTCTAGTTAGAAAAGAAAGCATCACAACAAAAATGGGTGTCCAGGAGGTTCTGTCCCGCAAGACCGGCGTTATCGTCGGCGATGACGTCCTCAGACTGTTCGAGCACGCTCAGCAGAACACCTTTGCCATTCCCGCTGTCGTAAGTAGACATGATAATACTGCGGATAGGAGGATATGAAGGAGAGGAGATGGATGACTGACGCTGCTGTTGGGTAGAATGTGACCTCCTCGTCGACCGTCGTCGCCGCTCTTGAGGCTGCCCGTGACAAGAACTGCCCCCTGATTCTCCAGATGTCCCAGGGCGGTGCTGCCTACTTTGCCGGAAAGGTGAGCTCTTTGCAGACATAAGAGTCAGTTTTAACCTTGAGGGGCCGTGATGGCTAACTTATTTTTTGATCGGTCCAGGGAGTTGCCAATGATAGCCAGGAAGCCTCTATTGCCGGAGCCATCGCAGGAGCCCAGTACATCCGCGCCATTGCCCCCAGCTACGGCATCCCAGTTGTCCTGCACACCGACCACTGTGCTAAGAAGCTGCTCCCATGGCTCGACGGCATGATGGACGCCGACGAGGATTACTTCAAGAAGCACGGCGAGCCCCTCTTCTCCAGCCACATGATCGATCTCTCCGAGGAGGAGGTCCAGTGGAACATCGAAACCACTGCCAAGTACCTCAAGCGTGCTGCCCCAATGAAGCAGTGGCTCGAGATGGTGAGTTTGTCTTGTCCTGCTCCTTCTTGTGCCAAAGTTCTAACGTGGAACGACAGGAAATCGGCATCACTGGTGGCGAGGAGGACGGTGTCAACAACGAGGACGTTGACAACAACTCCCTCTACACCCAGCCCGAGGACATCCTCAATATCTACAACACTCTTTCCCCCATCAGCCCTTACTTCTCCATTGCCGCTGGCTTCGGCAACGTCCACGGCGTCTACAAGCCCGGCAACGTCCGACTTCACCCCGAGCTCCTGTCCAAGCACCAGGCCTACGTCAAGGAGAAGACCGGCTCCAACAAGGACAAGCCCGTCTTCCTCGTCTTCCACGGCGGCTCCGGCTCCACCAAGGCCGAGTATAAGGAGGCCATCGGCTACGGTGTCGTCAAGGTCAACCTGGACACCGACCTGCAGTATGCCTACCTCAGCGGCGTGCGTGACTATGTCCTGAACAAGAAAGACTACCTGATGAGCGCTGTCGGCAACCCTGACGGCGAGGACAAGCCCAACAAGAAGTACTTTGACCCCCGTGTCTGGGTACGCGAGGGTGAGAAGGCCATGTCCCAGCGCCTGCACGTTGCCTTTGACGACTTCAACACCACCAACCAGAAATAAACGAGCGAAACTAAACAAACAAAACAGCGAATGTGTGCCCAAAAAGTCTTCTACCGAGTACATATTTTTTTAAACAGCTAGTCTTTTTAACACTCAGTAACTTAACTACCCCCAGCTTTCTGCAAAGAATATACCTTACTTAACCTTACCACTTTACCACCTCTTATCAACTAGTCATCAATAGTAGAGTACTCACTAGTAGTAGAGTACCCTAAAGTACTACTGTAAGGAAGCCAAACCCAGCATGAACCATTTTTTCTTTTATCCGTGGAGAAGAGGCGTCTCCAGCCCATCTGAGACATGCGTTTCCTCCGTCTCTCTCTCTCTC